TCCGCTTAGCAAGAGCCCGGCCCGACGCCGAGTCGGAGTGACCCGGGGAAAGAGCGAGGGAAACGGGGAGGCAGGCGCTCCCTGCTGGGAGGGGCGCCACGTCCCCGCCGGTCCTCCCGCGGCCCCCAAATCCCTTCCCCCGCCCCCCACGCCGGCCCCCGGAGGCCGCCCACGCCGCCTTACCCAGCTCGCCATGGAGCACAGCCCCAGGACGCTCCCCATGGCCGACGCGTCGCCGGGACGGCAAATGCCAACAAAATGGAGACCTATCCTCATTTTTTAAAATTCTTTTTTCCTTTTTTGCTATGCTGATTGGGTGTTTTTTGCTACATTGTCTTCCATATCACTGATTCAGTCCTCTGCTGTAACCTGATGTTGATTCCCTCCAGTGTATTCTTCTGCAGTTACTGTATTCTTCAGTTCTGATTGGTTCTTGTTTCAGTTTTCCATTTTCCTTTTTATGTTTCTGTATCTATGCTGAAGTTTTCCCTGAGTTCACTTGTTCTTCTCTCAAATTCATTGCAAATTGTTATAACCAGTGTTTTGAACTCTGCATCTGGTAGGTTGCTTATCGTCATTTCATTTAGTTCTTCTGGAGTTTTGCCCTGCTCTTTTATTTGGGACATGTTTGTTTGTCTCCTCATTTGACTGACCTCTGTGTGTATTGCTGTGTATTAGGTAGAAGAGCTATGTCTCCTGGTCTTGACAGAGTGGCCTTATGTAGAAAGTGTCCTCTCGGCACAGTTCTGCAGTCTTTCTGGTCACCTGAGCTGGTTGCTCCAGGGGCTTCCCCTGTGTGGGTTGGGTGTGCCCTCCTGTTGTAGTTGCTGCTACGCCACCACCATTTATTGGTGTTGACCATCTCTGGTTGACTGACTGTGTTGGCTGGATGTGACTGCAGCAGACAAGTTACTAACCCCACAGATCGGCTTGTTGCTTTAGCAGAACCGTGGTGCCAGGGCTGGTTCTTTGGGTGCACCTTTTGTTAGGTGGCACTCTGGTGTGGTCTGAAGCCGTCTGTCTACCAGGTTTGTTGGGGCTGGAACTTTGGGGAGGGATTCTGGTGCAGGCCAAGTTGAGCCACCACTAGGCTCGATGACTCTTGTTAAGAGCTGTAAAGTGACCTGCGGTTGTGGTTGGTTGGTTGTGCTGGGCTTGAAGGTGCTTGGGAGAGTCTATACTGCAAACTGAGGCTGCCTGCTTCTTGTGCCTATCTTGTGGCCTTTTAATTGGAACTACATTACAGGCCAAGTCTGGCCTCCACTTATCCCAGGCTTGGGGCCACCTGATGGGAGTTAGAATGTAAGTTGAGGCCGATTTCTCCTGGTACTGGGCTTGGGGCTGCTTGGGAAGAGCTACAATGCACACCAAGGTCCCAGCTGCTGCTTGTTTGGGGTTTACGGAGCTTTGGGACAGTCTGCAGTGCAAGCCTAGGACAGCCCTCACTTGTGTGAGGTGTGAAGATTTGGGGGACAGTCTGCAGTGCAAGCCAAAACGGGCTGCTAATGCAGAGGGCCCTCTGAAGAGGCACGGGCCTGGCGAGCAGGTTGGGTGGGGTCTTAGGGAATGATCAGGACGAGGGAACAATGTTAGTTTATGGAAAGAGTTGGTGCCCACATATGCAGAACTGGTTGGGTGGGAGGAGAGATGAACCCAGGAACAGTGGTGCCTGCCAGTGTTTCCATCCCTGGTGTGAGTTGTCCCGACCCCTGCCGCTCCAGCCCTTACTCTGAAGTTAAATTCAGTTCTTCCCGGTATGTTTCTGAAACTGTTCTGAGTTGTAGCCCCTTCACTAGCTTAAAGAGTATATGAGTTTGTGAGTGACTCTGTGCATGGTCCCTTTAAGAGCAATGCCCTAGTGTCTAGCAGCCCTTTGTCTTTGAACACAATCCCAGCTGGTTTGCACAACCAGATATTATAGGGACGCCTCTTCCTGCCACTGGATGCGCTGGTCCTGCGGGTCCAGTGTGGGGCTGTGACTCCTCGCACCTCCACAGCTGACATATCCCTGCCGTTTCGTAATTGCCACACTGTGGGGGTGGGACCTGCCCGGTCCAAGTATGTGCCCTCCTGTGTCTTCATGCAGCTGCCTCTAGATCGTTAATGTTCAGCTACACTAGAAGTGGTTCTCAATGGTTGTTCTATAATTTAGTTCTAATTTTGGTGTGATCTTGGGAGGAGACAAGTTCAGAGTTGACCTACTCTGCCAACTTGACCGTCAGCCGTTTTCTTTTTTCTGTTTGCTAGTTCATTGGGTGATTTCCACTTCAGTGTCTTTCACTTCACAGACCAATTTTTTTTTTTCATCAACTAATCTGCTCTTGATTCCCTCTAGTGTATTTTTCATTTCAGTTACTGTTCAATTCTAATTGGTTTTATTTTATATTTTCTCTTTGCTGATGTTTTCACTGAGTTTGGTGGGTATCCTTAATCAGTGTTTTTTTAAGTCTTTAGTAACTTTTTCCCATTTCATTTACTTCTAATTCTGGTCTTTTGTTTAGAACAGCCGTGGGCAAACTACAGCCCGCGGGCTGTTTGAAATGAATAAAACTATTGAAAAAAAAGACCGTACCCTTTTATGTAATGATGTTTACTTTGAATTTATATTAGTTCACACAAACACTCCATCCATGCTTTTGTTCCGGCCCTCCGGTCCAGTTTAAGAACCCATTGTGGCCCTCGAGTCAAAAAGTTTGCCCACCCCTGGTTTAGAACCTATTTTTTGTCTTATTTTGGTTCTTTCTCTTTGTTTCTATGAGTTAGGCAAAACAGCAACCTCTCCCGGTCTTAAAGGCATGGGTTTGTGTCTTTCGCGGGGCAGCTGGCACTGGAGCGTGCATGTGCTGTCGGGCAAGCATGTCAAACTCAAAGGCTAACACAGGCCAAATAAACAAGGTTTAAGTTTAGATGGGCCATAAAAAAACGAAAGCTTCAATTTTCATAGAAACGTGGGTTTATTTCAATAGAGACATAATAGAACATTTTAATAAAAATTAATATTTTTTCTTGAACATTAACTTACCAAACACTGAATAACTGCACAAATTAATAAGCGTAGCGCAAATAAACCTACTTTCCTTGTCCTCCAAAAGCAAAATATTTCCTGTTGCGCACACCAAACAAGTCAGTCCAAGACTAATGATATGGCAATCAGCTGCTAGTATTAGAGAAATGGTGTAGAGAAATGGTGCGCCTGCGCATAAGGCGTGTAGGGAAATGAGTGCAACACAATTATAGTAATCAGTCATTAGCGAACGTTGTAGTTATTAATTATAACAGGATGCTGTAAAAATTAAGTCATGAAATTTTTATTAAAATGTTTCTTACATACCTTTATACTGGCTGGGCCAGAAAAATATTCATTGTGCGCCACATGCAGCCCGGGGGCCGCGAGTTTGACATGCTTGCTCTAGAGAGAGCAAGGCTCGAGCTGCACCAGGGTTGCCTTGGCCAGGTAGTTGGAGTTACCCCTGGGACTCCCCACAGCTCAAGGGGCGTCCCAGAGGCAAGCCACACACACACTCCTCAGACATACTAGGCACCCTGCTCAAGAGCGTTGGGGAGTCCCAGAGGCAAGCCACACGGGCTGGGTGTTTGCCACAAGGAGACCCAGGGGTCCTCACCAGGACTGCCTGGGCAGGCTGGTTGGAGCTGTAGCTGGCACGGTCTGTGCAAGTCCCAGGGGCTAGCCATAGAGTGGGAACTACAGCGCGAGCGTGTGTGAGCCACGGGAAGTTACAGGGCAAACAGTGCTGGGGTCACCTTGTCAGGCCAGCTGGAAGCACGGTAGCTGAGGCAGGCCACTGGGAGACCTGCGGACAAGCCAGGGAGACGTGGGTCTGACAGTCTTGGCCCACCTTGCTCGAGTGCCTGGGTCATGGTCCTGCCATGTATTTCTTAATCCTTACTAATAGGCATCTTGCACACAATAGGTCCAAATTCAATCTCTTGCACTCTCCTTCCTGCCCCACCTCAGTCAATATCAGCTTGACCTTCCACATGTTTACGGCAAAAATCAGTCATCCTTGACATTTTCCCCCACATACTCCACATCCAGCACCTACGTTCCTGTTGGTGCCGCCATCTGACTATAGTATGTCCCACATGGCCCCACTGGCACTGCTACTACTGTTTACCTCTCAAAGTGGCCTCAACTGGTGTCTCCACTTCCATTCTTGTCCCTGTAGTCTGTTTTCAGAGTGGCAGCTAGAGGAACCTGGTCAAAACAGTGCCTCTCTCCTGGGAAATAGTGATTTCTCATTTCACCCAGAGTAAAATACTGGGTCTTAAAATGGCCAGGGACTCTGTAAGATCTGGCTCCCCATTTCTTTTCTGGTTTCATTTCCTGCAACCCTGCTTACTTGTTCCTGTCACAGTGGTCTCCTCACCCACTCCCCAGACATACCAGGCACCTTGCCACCTCCTCTGTACTCAATCTCCTCCACCTCTGTGTTGGCCTCGCTGCCTGAAATGCTCTGCTCCAGGTAATTCCCATCACTGCCTTGGGTCATCACCCAGATGTTACTTTCTTGTGACCATCATATCTAACACTGCATTTCAACTCTGTATTCTCGATCATTCCCTTCCTTCCTCTCCCTCCTTTCCACTTTCCTTCCTCCCTCACTGAGGACATGTTTTCATTGATTTTTAAAGAGAGGAAGGGAGAGAAACATTGATCAATTGCCTCTTGTATGCACCCCGATTGGGGATCGAACCTGCAACCTAGGTATGTGCACCAATAGGGAATCAAACCTGCAGCTTTCTGTTGTATGGGACAATGCTCCAACCAATTGAGTACCCAGCAGGGTTACTGTTTCATTCCATACACTTAACATTCTATTGTCAGTATACTCCCCCTAGATTGAGGGCAGAGATTTTTGAGTTATGTTTATTGCTGTATTTCTAGTGTATGAAATAATGTTTGGTACATAGAAGCTAGTCAGTAAATACTTATAGAATTTTTGTTGTATTATAAAAGAAATTTTAATTTTGCTCTTCAGGTTTATCTCTAACAAGTATTTAGTTAAACGGCAGAGCAGAGACTATGATGTGGAGTGGGGCTATGCCTTTGATGTGCATTTGAATGCTTTTTATCCTCTCCTAGTAATTCTACATTTCATCCAACTGTTTTTCATCAATCGTAAGTAGCAGTTACTTCTCAAAATATTTTTTAAATGTCTTCATAGTGTGCAATGAAAAGAGAGTCATTGTCTGTATCTCTTTGGCAGATGTCATCCTAACAGACACATTTATTGGATATTTGGTTGGAAATACCTTCTGGTTGATTGCTATTGGCTATTACATCTATATAACCTTCCTGGGATACAGTGGTAAGTAACTAATTTTTTTGGTTGACTAAAAATATAACAGAGAGAGGGGTAAGTTGTAACAGTAATAAAATTAGCTTACTTTTATGGAGCCTTTGTAGGCACTGCCTCAAGAACTTTATATGAATTATGTCATTTAATCTTCATAATTATATAATACTAGAGGCCCGATGCACAGTATTTGTGCAAGGCGCTCAGTCCTCACAGCCACAGTTCGTCCTGAAGGTCGTCCAGAGGACAACTGGTCTTATTAGCATACTCTAGAGGCCCGGTGCACAAAAATTTGTGCACTCGGGGGGAAGGGTTGGTCCCTCAGCCCGGCCGGTGCCCTCTCACAGTCTCGGACCCCCTCAGGAGATAACGACCTGCTGGCTTAGGCCTGCTCCCGGGTGGCAGAGGGCAGGCCCAATCCTTAGGTGCAGCCCCTGATCGGGCTCAGAGCAGGGCCGATTGGGGAGTTGGGGCGCCACCCTCAGTCACGCTCAGGGTAGGGCTGATTGGGGGGTTGGGGCACCGCCCCCTGTCACACTCAAGGCAGGGTCGATAGGGAGGTTGCGACGCCACCCCCTGTCACGCACAGAGCAGGACCAATCAGGGGGTTGGGGCGCTGCCCCCTGTCACTCACAGAGCAGGGCCCATCAGGGGGGTTGGGGCTCCATACCCTGTCACTCACAGAGCAGGGTTGATCAGGGGGTTGGGGAGCTCCCCCCTGTCACGCACAGAGCAGGGCCCATCAGGGGGTTGGGGAGCTCCCCCTGTCACGCATAGAGCAGGGCCGATCGGGGGTTGGGGAGCTCCCCCTGTCACTCACAGAGTAGGGCCAATAGGGGAGTTGGGGCACAGCCCCCTGTCACACACAGAGCAGGGCGGATCAGGGGGTTGGGGCGCTGCACCCTGTCACACTTGGCAGGGCCAATGGGGAGGTTATGGCTCTACCCCATCACACACAGAGCAGGGCCCGTGGGGGGCGGTTGGGGCACCGCCCTCTATCACCCACAGAGCAGGGCCGATCATGGGGTTGGGGCGCCGCCACTGTCACACTCAGGGCAGGGCTGATGGGGAGGTTATGGCTCTACCCCGTCACACACAGAGCAGGGCCCGTGGGGGGGGTGGGGTGGGGGCGCCACACCCTGTCACACACGGAGCCGCAGGGCAGTCAGTGGGTTGGGGAGCTCCCCGCTATCAGGCACAGAGCAGGGCTGATCAGGGGGTTGGGGCGCCTTCCCCTGTCAGGAACAGAGCAGGGCACATAGGGAGGTTGTGGCCCCGCCCCCTGTCACACACAGAGCTGCAGGGCGATCAGGGGGTTTGGGCGCTGCCCCCTGTCACACTGATCCCGGTGCCAGGAGGCCTCGCAGCTCCGCTGATCCCAGTGCTGGGAGGCATATTACCCTTTTACCATATAGGATAGAGGCCTGGTGCATGGGTGGGGCTGGCTGGTTTGCCCTGAAGGGTGTCCTGGATCAGGGTGGGGGTCCCCACTGGGGTGCCTGGCCAGCCTGGGTGAGGGGATGATGGCTCTTTGCAGCTGGTCACACACCCTTCAGGGTGGGGGTCCCGACTGGGGTGCCTGGCCAGCCTGGGTTAGGGGATGATGGCTGTTTGCAGCTGGTCACACACCCTTCAGGGTGGTGGTTCCCACTGGGGTGCCTGGCCAGCCTGGGTGAGGGGATGATGGCTGTTTTCAGGCTGGCGGGTGACGGAAGCTCCCAACCGCTCCTTTTTTTCTTTTTTTTTTTAAATTCTGGGCCAGCTTTAGCTCTGAGGCTCCAGCTCTTAGGCCTCTGCTCTTGAAAGCAGGGTATCTGGTTTGTTTCGGTTCTATAATCGAAACAATGTATAACTCCAGCTCTGAGATCCCAGCTCGCTGAAAGCAGGTTTCTGGGGTTTTGTTTAGCTTCTATATTTGTTACAATTTTTCAAACTGCAGGCTCAGAGGCCGGCAAGGCAGGCGGGGAACGTTGGAGTCCTCCATCACTGAAGCAAGCAAGCCTCATGTTAGCCTCAAGCTGCCTGCCTGCCTGCTGGCAGGCATCTTGGCTGGCAGTTAATTTGCATATCACCCTGATTAGCCAATGGGAAGGGTAGCGGTTGTACGCTAATTACCATGTTTCTCTTTTATTAGATAGGATTATGTTTTTATTATTATAGATAGGTTTACTTAGCCCCATTTTTCAAATGAGGAAACAAAGCACAGAGAGATTAAGTTAACATGTCCATGGTCACACATCTCAAAAGTGGCATAGTTGGTATGTAACAAATTCTGTCATTTCAAGGAACCACGTTAAAGCATATTGGTTATCTCCACGTTACCTACAGGAACCCACAACCAGTTTCCTTTTTCGCCAGGCTTTCAGATTTGAGTTACCAATGGTAGGTTAGAGAGGAAAAGGTTGGTCAGATGAATGGGCATATGAACTTGAGTGCCTCGTTTTCCATTTTTATAATCACTACTAGAGGCCCAATGCACGAAATTCGTGTAAGAGTGGGCCTTCGCAGTTGCGGCAGCTGCCTTGATCCCTTCCTCACAGCAAGGCGGCTGCCTCAATCCCAGGGCTGCAGCCCCAGCTTCATTCAGAAGGTTGTTCGACTGTTTGGTTTGATTAGCATGTTATGCTTTTATTAGTAGAGATTATTATAGATATGGTCTGTAGATGATTCCAGAAAATCAGGCCCAACTTCTGACCTGAGGATATGTTTGCAAATATTGTTAAATCCTATCAGTTCATTTTTCTTAATATGAGAAAATATTTATGTTGGCTTTCCTTTAAGACATGATCTCCATTAAATAGAGCCAAATACCTCAAATTGTAATACCTTGTTTGAGGTATCGGGAATCCTTTCTCCAGTTCAGGGGAGAGGCCTGTGATATGTCATATTGTGATTGGCATGCTGCAGCATTGTGGCTTCTCTAAGTGGATTTAAAAATATATACATACATATTTTTTTCAGAGAGGATGGGAGAGGGTGAGAGAAACATCAATGATGAGAGAGAATCATTGATTGGCTGCCTCCTGAACATCCCACACTGGAGATTGAGCCTGCAATGTGCCCTGACCAGGAATAGAACCATGACCTCCTGGTTCATAGGTTGCCGCTCAACCAGAGCCATGCCGGCCAGGCTCTCAGTGGACTTTTTATCACTTATGGTAACTCCCTATAGTTTAGAACAGCTTCTTTGAGTATAGGTCAGTTACAATTTGGTGCTTCCTGTATGAGGTATTTAGGTAAGAATGCATGGGGTAGGAAGGGCAAGAAACAAACATGGATTTGGGCACAGATTTGATTGAGTTTCAGCTCTTTGGGATGCTAGTGGAGACCTTACCTTCTACACTGGAAAATAAAATAAATAGCTGGACATTGTTTTTCCTATTATATTATCTGTCTCTGGTACTTAAAGATCAGTGGTTCACAACCTTCCTAATGCTGCGACCCTTTAATACAGGTCCTCATGTTGTGGTGACCCCCAATTTCATTGTTACAAATTGAACATAAAGCATAGTGATTAATCACAGAAACAATATGTAATTATATATGTGTTTTCCGATGGTCTTAGGCGACCCCTGTGAAAGGGTCATTCTACCCCCAAAGGGGTCGCGACCCACAGGCTGAGACCCACTGTTTAAGATGGACTCTTAGAGGTTTCCGAAGCTGTCACGGGTTTAAACTCACCACCAATTTTATTAACATTTGTGATGTTTATCCTGCGTTCTCAATCTGTCTTTGTCCTGGACTTGCTTCTTGCTCAGCCTTTGTGCTAAAATAACCTCCCTTCTGGGTTTCTTCCCAGCGTGAGGAAGGAGGCAACACAGAACACAGCAAGATCTAGGATGGTTCTGGCTACATAGCTTCATGTTACTGACTGAAATAAGTGTTCCTCTTTGGCCCATGCTGTGAAGAGCTGTCTTTCAGGATGTTCATTTATTAGTCACATTTCCTTATTTAAAAAGTGAATTTGGATTTGTTTGTTTTCCAGCATTGCCATTTTTGAAAAATACAGTGATTCTTCTCTATCCATTTGCTCCCCTCGTTCTGCTGTACGGGCTGTCACTAGCACTAGGATGGAACTTCACCCACGCACTATGTTCTTTCTACAAGTACAGAGTGAAGTGAAAAAAAGTGAGACTGTTACCTCTTAACTGTGTCAACAGTATTGGTGAAGTGATTTCTTATGAAACTTGTAAATAAACTCTTATTGTAGATATCCTGAAGGTGTAAAGTTTGTGAATTTGAGGAAATATATGTTAACACTATTGTCATACATTCCTTAAAACTAATTAAATGTACATTTCTATAATAAATATTTTTAAATTAAAGCGTGTCTTCTTCTATTTGCACACAAAATCATATACAAAGTACGAAAGGCATGAGGAAATTAGGCATAACTTTTCAATGTGAATCCTTTTTGAAAAAGGTTCTTTTTGAAGAACATAATCATATGCTCCCCTGCCCCCCACTGTTACAAGGTACTTACTCAGCCTCCATTTACTACTGGGCTGTATTTTATTTTATTAAAATTTATTTTTATTGATTTTTTACAGAGAGGAAGGGAGAGGGATAGAGTTAGAAACATCGATGAGAGAGAAATATCAATCAGCTGCCTCCTGCACACCCCCTACTGGGTACGTGCTCGCAACCAAGGTACATGCCCTTGACCGGAATCGAACCTGGGACCCTTCAGTCCGCAGGCTGACGCTACATCCACTGAGCCAAACCGGTCAGGGCTGTATTTTAAACATTTATGTAGGGGGGGAGCATATGATCTTAGTCTAACCTTCAGGCCCTAAATATCTTTAAGAGCATTTTCTCTGCTAAAAAACACACTTCTTAGCGTGAGGTGGCCCGTGATGGCTGCTCTTAATTTGGGAGCTGAGCAGAGCACATAATGTATGAGTATCTGCGTCACACTGAGAACCACTGTCTCAACACCAAGGTTTTCTTTCAAGGTTTTCTAAAACCCACATAGAGGATCCACTGCTGTTTTCTAATTGAAAATAGTTCAAATATATCAGTGTTAAAACCAGTAAAATTTGCTTCATGAAGTCTTACCTATATTTTTATTAGAGGGAATCTTGAATTCAGCATGGATTTTTAAACGTCTTTATTTCAAATACACATGAATGGTGTGGCACAAACAGGGATGAAAGGCACCGTCAACAGGACCAGTTATTAAGTTACAGCAGCAAATTTGAAAATAAGCTTCCTTTGAAAATTTAACAGGTACCTAAAATATTACTACAGGTATTACCCATTCAACCAATAACGACCTTGTAAGGAGTATGTACAATACATTAAGGAGAAAAAAAGTGAGTACAACTTGGGAAACGAATTCCTCAGGCAGCTTCTCCAAGGGTACTTCCAGAAACTTCCCCGGATGCGCACACCACCTCTCCCGCAGTGTTCTCAACGAGAAAACACTTTAGTTTCTCATTCCATAAATGAAGCATGATGGTTATGTGAATCAGCTGACTTCTAAATCTCCTTAGAAAACACTACTGTCTATACTTAATGAAGAGTATCAAATCTGCTGGCAGTGCATCGTACAGTACTGGCGATATCACCATTTTAAGGCTCAGAAAATGTATTCAAAAGATGTTTTCAGCAAACACTGAGCATTGCAAATAAATCATGAAATGCTACTCACACTTGAGTACCGAACCTGATTCCGGGACAGTTTGCGAGCTACTAAACCAAGGCAGTGCTAGCAGCAAGGGGCACATGGAATAGCTTCCCTAACATCTGAGGACTCCCCACAACAAACACCTGATTTTAGCACAGACTTTACACTTTTACTGCAACAGTGACAACACTGGGAATAACAGCACAAAGTACAGTCCATTCAACAGTTTATTGTCTTGAATGGTGTCATATAAATTCTGAACTCAAATGCACTGGGGAGTGCCAGGTTGTTCTTGCCCGTCCCTTTGAAAGTGACTTAGTGCCCACACTGGTGAGGGGACTGTTTCCGGTGAGAAGGGCTTATATATGGATATTGATGATAGGGACATAGTAACAAATCCTCTTTTTAAAAAAATACACTGTGGTAATAGTCTTGTCAGTATTGTACACCCACATGCATTAAAGCAAGCATACTGGTTATGGCATGTATCTGTTAAGATTAAAATTTACAACAAACTTTTACACTACAATACTGCTACACAGTTTGGAAAAGTTTTCTATAAAAGAAAGATGTGATATGTAAGTTCCCTCAAAACATAAGATACGTTTATGATCCCAATTTCTGACCTCTGTCAGTGTTAGCGCCTCATTTTTTCCCCTTTAGTTTTATTTTACTTACATCAAGGGTAAGTATAGCATTATACTAAAAATAAGCACAATTAATGGACAAACCAAAATAAAAAACTTGACTAGCGATTAATAGCTTGGAAGCAGAGATATTTTGGAAAATATCTGCCAAGTACAAAAATTTGGTTGGCACTATAGGATTTGATCTGTGCTTAGACAATAAGTTTTGGTTTAAAAAAAAAGTACTCCAGTACAAAGTAGATTGATCATATGGTCTCTACATAAAGGCAGAAGGATCTTTCCTCCTAATTTAGTATCTTATTTAAAATACCACTGTTCATCATTCTTAAACAATATACTGACAGGCTCAGAGCAGACTAAATCGGCGTAAGGTAATACTTTTTCTAGGAGAAAGATTCCTTATACACTGTTGGATTCCTACTCCTAGCAGTTCCTTTAGAACAGTGGTTCTCAACCTTCCTAATGCCACGACCTTTTAATACAGTTCATGTTGTGGTGACACCCAACCATAAAATTATTGTCGTTGCTACTTCATAACTGTGATTTTGCTACTGTTATGAATCGTAATGTAAATATCTGATATGCAGGATGTATTTAGGCGACCCCTGTGAAAGGGTCGTTTGACCCACAGGTTAAGAACCACTGCTTTAGACGCACTACTAAGATGCTACAAGTTTTTGTCAACAAATTTCCAGTGAAGATAGATCTCTGGCATAGAAATCCCCGATGAAGCCCAGGAGTAGGATTTCCTAGGAAGATTTCACTCATGCATTTGCCGAAAACACCACCAAACTAGAGGGAATCTGTAGGAAGATTTCCCCTCCTCACCTTTTAAATACCGTATTCATCATTCATTGCTACATAACACATCATCACAAATTTGGAAGCTCATTGCTCATCTCACAGAAGTCCAGGCAGCTGGACTGAGTGTTCTGCTCGGTCTCAGGCTGGAATCAAGGTGTCGTAAGGCAGAGGAGAACCCGCCTGCCCACCTGGTCAGGTGTTGGCTGTGTTCGGTGCCTGGGGCCATGCAGGCCCCTTTGCCTGGGCTGTCAGCTGAGGCCTCTCAGCTTAAGGCCATCTGCATTTCTCCTTATGTGGCTTCCATCTTAAGCCAGCAAATGCTGCCTCCTCCTGTTTTGAATCTCTTAACTTCTGCTATTAGCCTGAGAAAACTGCTTAAAAGGCTCTCATGATAAATAATGTGATTAATAATGACACCTGATTACTTAATGGTGCAACCATTGCTTTGAAAAGCCACACCTTTGTTCAAAGACATCGCCAATGGTTGAGTTAATATACATGTACTTGTCTGTAATAGACGTGTCTGTGTGCTAAATAACCCATTGCATTCACTTCTCCCAAAGCTTTTAATCTCACGGCTTCACACCATTGCTCTTTTTGTCTACAGAGTATGGTACAGGGCATGCTGTAAAGAACATTGAGAAGTAGGTCAAAGAACACAGAAATCTTTGCTCTTAGAATGCTAGAAATAGGTCCTCGACCCCTTCTTATCCAAAATAATCATTTGCACTGTGATATATTCTGTGTCTACTTTTAACCTAATTAACAAAACTCATTATTCTGGTTTCTACAATGTTCCTATTAGGGAGCTCAACACAGTGCTGGCAACAGAAGCTTCTGTAGTGAAGGAAATGTTCGGGGCCTGTGCTGCCCACCCCGTGGCCACCTGCCCCAGGTGGCTCTGGAGCATGTCCCTGTAGCTAGAGTAAGGGGGGAGCCGAATGGATGTTGACTTAAAGAACCACCACGGGTCTAGTAGCCACTATCTGGGACAGCACAGCTCCAGAGTGTGACCAGTTCAGTGAAACACACACCAGGTGCCAGGTCCATGCCTTCTTGATGTCGGTGCTCTCCCATCTGATGCTCCCCACTCACTGAAAGTGGTTCAGTGTCCTCGCAAGGTCAGTAATTGACTCTCCGTTCCAGGGCTCTTCGCCTGATTTGTCCCAACCCCTCACTCACTAACACAACTCTTCGGACTGCCGCTATCACTTCCTGCTCGAGGAAAGCATGGCTGCTTCTGACTGACTAGTGTAGAGCTCGGGGAAGGAGAGAGCAACTAAAAATGAGACAGGCCCAGCAGGCACGGCTTAGCGGTTGAGCGCTGACCTATGAACCAGGTGGTCACGGTTCAATTCTGGTCAGGGCACATGCCTGGGTTGTGGGCTCGATCCCCAGTGTGGAGCATGCAGGAGGCAGCCGATCAATGATTCTCTCATCACTGATGTTTCTCCCTCCCTGCCTCTCCCTTCCTCTGAAATCAATAAACACATATTTGAAATAAATGAGACCAGGAGCACCGGCTGCAGCAGAGCCCAGGTAAGAAGTGCGAGTTTCAGGTTTGCCCTCAGGAGCTTGAATTTGGTCAGAGAAACATGCACACACATAAGCACGCCCCATAAACATCAAAAACTCCAGAGCTGAGTGTACGTAAATGTGTGGCAAGGACAGGAGGTGAGGGGAGTTGAGAAAGAAGGGGCTGAAAGAGCGGGTCCCTCATCCAGACACTGCCTGCGCACCTGCCCCGTGCCAGGCACTGGAAACCGATTGATGGGGAGGGTGCACCAGAGAGGCCGTGAAAGATGGACAGGATTTGTCTGGGAGTGTTCTAAGGAGCAGGAGGGGTGAGCTAATCCTGGAGGAAAGTGAGCAGGAAAAGGCTCTGTCTGAAGGCTGACGCCCCGGAATGGCAGGGGCGACAATAACTGTCCCCTCGGGGTCTTTAGAGGCTTCTTCCCTGCAATCAGAGATGGCTTCTTAGGCAGCAGGGAACGAGGGACTTCGAAACTTACCTCTAGATTTTCACCTCCCGATAATCTGTTATAGCAGTAATTATGTTAAGCTAGTGCCAAATTTATAATGAAACGGTATTTTCAAATGAAATCTGCCTATAGAAAATCAATAGTAAAATTT